ATTGTTTGCACCTTTGAACTTGGGGGTATTGTTGCTCTGTCCATGCGAGAAGAACCAGGAAAGTAAAAGGGTAAAAACATAAGCCCCCTAACACTGGGGAGGGGCTGGAGGGAGCTGAGGGTCTTGCTCACCTCTGATGCGTGCAGTCCCTTTGTGATGTCAGGACCCGCCTGGTCCTGGCCCTTTATGATGCGTCACTGGAACAAACAGCCTCTCGGGAGAGATCCAGTGGCAGCACCAGCAGGGAGCCCAGTGTCCAGACCGTCCTCCCCAGCACGAGGATGGGGATCACACAGAGCTGGTTCTGTACCTGTTGGGACAGCCCCTGGGTGCTGTACACCTGCGTCCTTCTGGTCCTGGTCATCTGGATGGCCAAGGCGACCCAGCACAGTTTCCCCAGGAGAAGCAGGATGGTAGGAGGACACCCCCCCCCCAACCCCTTTGCAGCCATCCTACACTCTCAGCAGAGCTTGCCTGGACACAGCCCCATGGAAGGAAGGGAGGGAGGGTGGCCAGAGGCCCCCTGTTCTGACCAGGCCCCGTTGGGCTGGCAGGACACATCCACAGAGAGAGACAGGGCCAGAGACCGAGCTCGTGGCTCCATTCATTGGTTGTTCCTTACTGCCCCGACCACCCCAGCTAGTGATGATAGAACATTTGCTGCTACCTAATATAAGACACACCTGTGGCATTTTGTCCCTGCTGGGATCACTCCATATACGGTGATCCAGTAAGAAGAGGCTCTGTTCTAATTGGCATTTACAGGTATATTACAAGTTAAAATATTTATTATAAGATCAAATGAATAATTCATTACCTCCAAGCAACAAGTAGGATAGAAAAAACAGGAGTACTTGTGGCACCTTAGAGACTAACACATTTATTTGAGCATAAGCTTTCGTGGGCTACAGCCCACTTCTTCGGATGCATAGAATGGAACATAATATTGAGGAGATATATATATACACATACAGAGACAGGTGGGAGTTGTCTTACCGACTCTGAGAGGCCAATTAAATAAAAGAAAAAACTGGGCTATCTTGATTATCACTTCAAAAGTCCCAGTACAGACCACTGGGGGACACCACTATTTACCTCTCTCCATTCTGAGAAACGGATTATTTATTCCTACCCTTTTAACCAGTGACTGATCCATGAGAGGACCCTCTGATTTGATTTCATTTCATTTCATTTCATTTGTTAGCACATTTTAAGCCCTCATGGTTGCAAAGAGAAGCTGGAAAATGTAAATTGAGGTCACCCTAGCGGCTCAGACACCAGAAGGCAAATGAAGAGTTCCCCAGATGAATTTTTTTTAAGATATCGTTATTTTGAAGTCAATCTCATGGTTTTGGTGGGGCCCAGCTCATGGTTTTGGAACGCTTGGGCAGGCGATCCCATGAAAGTTTTTCTGCACTTGTAATACTAGATTATCACTTCAGGCTGGGAGATTCTGCTTCACAAGTAGGCAAAAAACGTCCCTTGCTTAGGTGCTTGAGAGTCATAAAGCTTTGAAAAGACCCAGGGTTTTCCTTGGAAATCTGATGCCCTCTCTCCTGCCTAGTTCTGAGCTCAGCAGCTCAGCCCCCTTGGGCTGTTGCCACATCCTATCTCCTGATGTAAGCACAGCATTGACAGCTCACAGGCTAGCGGGAGATTGCAGGAGGGCAGCCCCATTCTGACCTAGAGACAACGTCAGCGCCTGCCAGATGCCAGAGCCGCAACCTGCCGTCAGGTGTAGCC